TCAACGTGCTGTTACATCAAGCCCAAGTTCTCAAATTTGCAACCTTGGCAAGAGTTTTTGAAACAGCTCTTTGCGTGTCATTAGCCACTTGATGAAAACGCAAAACACAATTCATTTTGTATCATGGAAGTCTGGCAGATCCCCATTGTTCTTGGCTAGACGTGTTGCCAAAGTGTTCAGGGCACACGCAGAAAAGAAAAATTGTACAGTCACCAGCTAATATAAATTGTTTTGTGTTCGTGCTCCCCTCCACTTCCCCCTGCACTCCAGCCATAGGCAGTTACAAATTCTTTACTGTAAATCTGCTTTGACGTTCTTAAGAGATGCTCCCGGGGGAGATTTGAGAGTGGGCTTTGTGCCCGTGACATCTTCTGAGCGACTCTGAAACAACAGCGTGTTTCACCCCAGCCCGCTAACAGGCAGATGAGGCCTTCTGACCTGACACCTTATCAATTTGCGGGAATGGCTGCATGGTGTGATTACATTTCCATGAGCTTGAAAAGCCAGCTGAGCCAATCCAAAGCACCATTAATCTCAGGGGAGCGATACCGCCGAGGCAGGCCGCTTGTGGTGCCAAGGTTTCTACAAAAATAGATCACGAAAAGAGGATTGCTCAAGCAGGAATATGTAGGGAGCTGCCTTGGCCCCAAGTTATTAGGAACTGCTGGATCTGAGCGCAGCTCCTCCGTGTGGCGAGCCTAGGAGCTACGCATGGCACATCCTCTACTGGGGATCAAGCCACTTTCTGCGAAAACTTGTCACCCAGGTGCTATTTGCACCCAAAATGGTGGTTGTCGAGGTTCACAGGAAATTGCTACGGGCCCCGATCTGGATGGAGAACATGTCAAGAATAAGAGCTAGGTAGATCCTTCTTCAGAATAAAAAGTGGCCATTTTAAGCATAAGGACTTTTCCGTGTGGGACATGGGTGGCACTGTGGGTTAAACCACAGAGCCTAGGGCTTGCTGATCAGAAGGTCGGCGGTTCGAATCCCCACGACGGGGTGAGTTCCCGTTGCTCGGTCCCTGCTCCTGCCAACCTAGCAGTTCAAAAGCACGTCAAAGTGCAAGTAGATAAATAGGTACCACTCCGGCGGGAAGGTAAACGGCGTTTCCGTGCGCTGCTCTGGTTCGCCAGAAGCGGCTTAGTCATGCTGGCCACATGACCCGGAAGCTGTACGCCGGATCCCTCGGCCAATAAAGCGAGATGAGCGCCACAACCCCAGAGTCCGCCACGACTGGATCTAACGGTCAGGGGTCCCTTTACCTTTTTACTTTTCTGTGGATAACACACACCCTTGTATAAGACGCCCCCTATTTTGGGGGGCTCCAAATAAAGAGAATGTTGAGCTTTTTTACAGAGGATTGCCCAGAGTTGTACAACTTTTTTGGGGGGGGAGACAAAGGTTGTTGAGGTTTTTATGGGGGGAAATGCAGTAAATCACCAACCTGACACTTAAAATTGTGTGTGCCGCTCGCTAACAATCACTTGCGTCAGCAAAACGCATCTGCCCGGTCGCCCACAGCGGAAGGAAATCGCAACCCAAATTACAGCAGCAGTAAATACAAAACAGCATTTGACACAGCAACCAGTCACACACCTATTTAACACAGCATCAGCCAATACGAAACAGCCTTTGCTGCAGCCACCAATCACGCACCAATGACAACCTGCAGCTCACGGCTGCAACCAATCATCTGTCACCCCCCTACCCACTACCCGTGTATAAGACGCCCCCGGTTTTCTGACCTTATTTTACAGTATAAAAACCTCGTCTTATACACGGAAAAGTAAGGTGTTTATTTCAAAGCCTGAAAAATGTACAGATAAACAAATACACAACTTTGCGTAGGCATCTAAAGGCTGCTCTCTATTGAGAAGTTTTTGATGTTTGATGTTTTGCTGTGTTTTCATTATGCTGCAAGCTGCCCAGAGTGGCTGGGGCAACCCAGTCAGATGGGCAGGGCAAAAGTAATTTATCATCAACATCATCATCAAGAAAGATGCTACAAGGTTGAATGATCTTTTAAAGCGGCAGTTCCTTCTCATTCCATCCCATGACAATGTCACGTTTTCCTCTGCTGTTGTTTGTCATGGTCGATGTGGCCCCCTTCATGTGAGAGAGCCCATCCCTCCCCCTTTTCTTAAAAAAGACCTCAAAGAATAATTACTACCAGCCTTGTACCCACTATTGTTCAGGAATCTGAATGAACCAAAATCAGTTTTGACATCAGCAGATAAAAACAGTGCGGCCCTGTATAGGGAAGCATTTTAAGGTTTAAGGTTTTATTATGTTTTTATATACAGTGGTACCTCGGGTTAAGTACTTAATTCATTCCGGAGGTCCGTTCTTAACCTGAAACTGTTCTTAACCTGAAGCACCACTTTAGCTAATGGGGCCTCCTGCTGCCACTGCGCCTCTGGAGCACGATTTCTGTTCTCATCCTGAAGCAAAGTTCTTAACCTGAAGAACTATTTCTGGGTTAGCGGAGTCTGTAACCTGAAGCGTATGTAACCTGAGGTACCACTGTATGTTGGAAGCCACCCAGAGTGGGGAACCCAGTCAGATGGGTGGGGTACAAATAATAAATTATGTTGTTGTTGTTGTTGTTGTTGTTGTTGTTATGTCATCTTGATTCAAAATGTCAACCAATGGAATCCAAACCCAGGTGAAAACTGCTTCTTGATATCGGGAACCATCGTGCAAAATTTGGTTATAATATCTTAAGAGGTGTCCAAAACGCATAGTGAACAGACAAACCACTTTCCAAAATATATAGTAGATAACAATAACAATATCAACAACACAGGCATAACAAGTGTTAATGCGTATCACATCAACATACTCAAGGAGAGAAACCAACAAGAAAACCATTTCTTAGAACACTGGGTTCTTTTCCTAAGTTTATGGAATGAAAGAGTTTAGGACAGTGTCTACCATGAACTTAGTGTCCCTACTCCTGGACACCTTTTCTCTTTTTTCTTCTTATTATGCCCCCTCTTCTATACACCCCTCACTTTTTGTTTTTGTACTTGTTCATACTATTACAATAAAACAGATTGGCTCAGATAATCATTTATGGAATGGTGCCTAATGAGAACTCTACCATTCTTCTCTCTGTTTATTTTTGACTTTCCACTATACAGTGGACGCTCGGGTTGTGAACGTGATCCGCGCGGGAGGCATGTTTGCAACCCGCAGCGAGGCGTCTGCGCACGCGCAAGTTGCGATTCGGTGCTTCTGCACATGTGCAAAGCGTGATTTAGTGCTTCTGCGCATGAGTGAACGCCGAAACGTGGAAGAAACCCGTTCCAGTACTTCCGGGTTCAGCACGTAACCTGAAGCATCTGAAACCCGAGGTATGACTGTATAGGTAGCAGCAGAAGCGATGATGAGACACTGCTAATATATCAGAACCACATGACAGTATGAAATGTCTTATCATAGATACACACACACACACACACACACACACACACACACACACGGAGTGTGTGTATATATATATATATATGCATGCAAGAAGGCTTTTCTTTTGCCGAACAAAGCATGCTAATTTTATAACGCCAGTACTCATGATCACCACCAGAGGTCATGATATCCCTACCAAACAAAGTCTCTTTATTGATATTGGTGCTACTAAGACATTACATAGCAATCCCTTCGTCTGATCATTTTACGATGCTTCCAGACAGCCTGCTCATTGAGTTTTCACCCTGATTTGTTTGCAAGGAGATTAGACGACGTTGGCTATTGAACGAATATTTGTTCTGACTTTGTTTGCAGGGAGGTTAGATGAAGTTGTGTCATTTGTCATCCCACACTTTCCAGTGTGTCCCATCAGTTTCCTTAACACGCACACGGGAAACAGGTTTCTTGCACAAGACCTCCTGTTCCACTACATAATTTGGAAAGTTGTTTGTCTGTTCGCTAAACATTGGGGCATCTCTTAAGCTATTGCAACCAAATTTTGCATGGTGGTTCTGCGTATCAAGAAGCAGTTTTTTGTCTATGTTCAGATACAGTTGGGTGCCACTTTGAATTAAGATGGAGAATTGAACCAATCTGCACTGATTTGTTTTGTTTTGTTTCTTTGAACTTTGGAGCAACAATGAGTATATAGCTACAACGCTGCAACCTGAATTTGCTGCTTTGGGATTAAATCCCAGCTGAAAATGGCAACAACATGAAGGAATGCCAAAAGTTAAGTTTTGGAGTCATGTAGGACTCTAGTTCAGATATACCGTATTTTTCGCTCTATAAGACGCACCAGACCATAAGACGCACCTAGTTTTTGGAGGAGGAAAACAAGGGGGGAAAATATTCTGAATCTCAGAAGCCAGAACAGCAGGAGGAATCGCTGTGCAGTGAAAGCAGCAATCCCTCTTGCTGTTCTGGCTTCTGGGATAGCTGCGCAGCCTTGCATTCGCTCCATAAGACGCACACATATTTCCCCTTACTTTTTAGGAGGGAAAAAGTGAGTCTTATAGAGCAAAAAATACGGTAATTCTTAAAAGTGGGGTTGGTGTCATTCAACATATTGGAAAATAAACTTGAAATTTCTCGTTCTAAAGGGGAGCATCTCCTGAAATGCCAAACACACAATTGAAATTGTCACAAATTATATCCAGGCGCAGCTCTAGTTTAGTAATACGTGTCTCGACTTCGCACTTGCGTGATTTTCATTGACGGACGTTCAGCACGCAATTGCCAGTCGCGCCTGTTGTGTGACGTTTGACGTGGTCTTCGGAATGACGCCGGTGGCAGACGATGCTCCATTTGGCTGCCATTGAACTTAAAAATGCATGGACAGATTGTAAGAGTTATGTGCAGAGTGGCATAAGGTTTGTGTGAGGTCTGGAAAGATCTCAGAGCCAGGATAGGTGAGAGATAATAAGCCTAATAATGCGTCAAGGTTTTTTTTTTTCCCCTTTATAAACCTCGAACACACTCATTGTTCTGCCAGGTTTTCTTCCACACAAAAGACGGCTTGAGATGATTCACCTGGGATTTGTTTGGGGCCTTTTGCTGTTCTTTTGCACTTCCTTCCCTGCGGCCGCTTGATTAGGCTTGCATAAGGAGTAAAATGATTGCACGGAAAATTCAGTGCGCTGCGAAACAATGGAAGTAATAATAATAATGACAGCAAACCCAACAACAACCAATTTCTTCTCTAACAGATGATGAATTGGAAGACCAGTTGTTTATCTGAGCGCTTCAGTAGATGCGACAAGAGTTGCCACCGTTGGGCTTGCCATATAACAGGAAAATTCCTGACATGTCCTGGTTTTCGGGTGTAAAAATGGCGTCGGTCAGGGAAAACCCAGGTGTATGGCAACGCAATGGAAAAATCAGTAGAAATAGCTCCAAAAGCTAAAAATCACTATTTTGGGGGTCACTTTCCACTCTGTGGAGTCAAAACATGATAGACAACAATCCCATAACTGCAACCATGGAGCAGGAATTCTAACAGTGTTTCTCCCCAAAAGCTCAACAATTTTGCATGTCAGGAACTTTTTGAAATATGGCAACCTTAACCACTTCTCCCTCTCGCCCCCCCCCCGCCCTCACTTACACAGAGAATCATTGTGGGCAAACATTCTGTGACATCACAGCAGCATGCACTGTCCCAACTCATGTTGTTGTCTGTTGTCTGTCAACCACAGCGGTGCAAGAACAATGAAGGATCCTTGCACTTCTTCATTGACTTCTGCAGGAATGGAAAAGGCACAGGTTACCAAATGAAGGGGAAGATTTTCAAGTAACGATACCCAGCCTGGTAGGCACCAGGATCTAGAATCAATCTCGGGTGGCAGAGATGGAGGGAGCTGTGGCCCAGCAGGAACATGAGTTGTTGGATTTGACGAATGAACCTGGGAAAAGTCAGATTTGGAGAGATGGAGTCCAGTTTGGCTTGGAGATGGGGGACTGGACAGACCCCCTTATGCAGGGATGTTTTGACCTTTCAAGTCTGGCTTTGGGCCGGGGGGAGCTTGGAGTTGCGGGGGCCTTTAACTTTAGAGGGACCTTGAAACATGCCTTTAAATATCACATGGATTTCAGTGTTGACTATGGAAAAGGGGCTGACTTGTCGAGAAGGGACAAAAATATTGTTAAGCTGGAGTCTCCCCGAGTGAAAGGAGCAGAAGACAAAGTAAAGTACAGGTATAAACATGAAGAAGACCTGAGGAAGGGACATGGAAGAGACTTAAGAGCCTCGGATATAAGGTCACCAGGTTGATGGACTAGTTGGATGGGATAGAAAGGACTGACAAAACCCGAGACCAGGAAGAAGAGACGATGGATGAAGATTGGAAGAAAATTTTAAAAATTTATTTAGAAAAGTATCGTAAAATTAATGAGTATTAGAAAAATGTTGGAATGAAATTATTTGGCTTTAGCAGAAATGTTTAAAAGAATTATGTAAGAATATGTTATGGTTAAGAGAATTTGGTATAAATAAGATTTAAGTTTTAAGTTTTAGGTTTTTTTATGGTAAATACGGTTAAAATATATTAAGGTAATTTAATGACAGACTATTGTGAAAGATGGAAAGGATTTGCTGAGATAATTAACAACTAGAATACAAAAAAGGGAGGTGTGAGGAGGTCGATGAAATAACTTAATGACAGTTAAGGATCTGGGAATATTGGATTTGTTTTTAAATTTTTTGTTTATTTTTGCTTTTTGATTTTGATGCATTGTGTGTTTTGTTTTTTCTTTTTGACGTTGGTTTTTATTGATTTGTATTGTTTAATTGTTACTTTTATCTACTTTTTTCTTTCTTTTTCTCTTTCTCTTGTTTTTTTCCTTCTTTCTTTGTAACTTTAAAATTCTCAATAAATATCATTTTAAAAAAATATAGAATCAATCTAGTTTGAAACAGCATGTTGAAGATGAGCAGGAACTTTTGCAGATTGAGAAAAAAAACTACATTTTTGTGCTACAAACTGTGTACATAGCAATAGCTTCCTACGTTCAAGAAAACTGGCATCATACCTTGGCTGAATAACCGTTAACTCCCTTGCCCTGCGAATTAATTCTAGTTTCCGTTACTTCTGCACACCATTCGCTTTGGGTTAGGGCAGCAATGCAACAGCTCAGGACTTACTGAAGACCGTCAAAAGCAAATGTTTACAGAGCACTTGCAGGCCCTAAAACAGAAGGTTAACGTGAGATGAATGACTTTCTGGTGGAAGCCGTAATTGCACAATAATGAAATAGGAAAACTCATCCATCGTCTCTTCAACATCTAAGCTCTCTTCAAACACAGGCTAGAAGTGGCAATGGGGAACAGGGCTGAGCAACAGGCCGGCGCAATGATGCATACTAGCAACAGCTGCTGCTCCCAGCTGGTTCCCCTTGGTGGGTGGGGAAAGCTACTAAGCTCAAGCTACATTGTAAAGCATGGAAGCTGATGTTCTGCAGGCAAAACGATGAGCAGCTGCAATGTTGTTGTTGTTGTTTTAAAAAACACACCTTCCAGTTGTGCCAGTGGGGAAGGGTGTAGCTCAGAGACACAGAATCTGTTCCACGTGCTTACAGTATCTCCAAGTAGCAGGTCAGGGAATGCCCCCCCCATCTAGAGAACTATAATGCCCAAGAGAGCAAACAAAATAAAATACCTTATTTTTTGCTCTATAAGACACACTTTTCCCCCTCCAAAAATTAAGAGGAAATGTGTGTGTGTGTTATGGAGGAAATGCAGGCTCCATGGCTTCACAAACACAACGTGAAGCCTCTGAAGCGCAGCGGGAGCGCTCCCGCCGCTCTCCGGAGGCTTCACGTTGCTTTCACTGAAGCCTGGAGAGCGAGAGGGGTAGGTGCGCACCAATCCCTCTTGCTCTCCTGGCTTTGCTTCGCTGGAGAGGCGCTGCGCAGCTTTCCCTCTTTGCGCAGCGCCCCTTCAGCGAAGTGGGAGGAGAAATGGAAGGGGCTCTGTTTCTCCTGCCGCTTCGCTGGAGAGGCGCTGCGCAGAGAGGGAGAGATTTTTTTTTTCTTGTTCTCTCCCCCTCTAAAACTAGGTGTGTCCTATGGTTGGGTGCATCCTATGGAGCGAAAAATACGCTACTGTGTTAAATGGACCAGTGCTCTGACTCAGGACAAACTCATGAATAATAAGGCTCATGGGTAGGCAAACTAAGGCCCGAGGGCTGGATCTGGTCCAATCGCCTTCTAAATCCGGCCCGCTATAATGTGACACAAAAGCTGCATGTTTGTTTTCTGACAATAAAATGTGTATCTGTGTCAAAATATGGATGTGTGGATGTGAAAGCAGCCAGTGTTGTGACTTAATTTTAATCTACAATGAAGCAAGTGGGAATCCTGGTTTCACTGTGAATGATGTGCACTTACTTCCCTCCGACTTTGCCCTCCTTCCAGGAGCATAAAAAGATGCCTTATACCATGGGTAGCACAAGTAAATCCTTGCATGTATTCTTCTGGTACCAAAATATTCATCTTCAAATACTGCCCCATTTACCCAATGACTTTATAATATCAGGGTTTTTGGCTATTTTTATCAGCCTGCAAGCCTTGCCTAATCCAATACAGTGGTACCTCGGGTTAAGTACTTAATTCATTCCAGAGGTCCGTACTTAACCTGAAACTGTTCTTAACCTGAAGCATCACTTTAGCTAATGGGGCCTCCTGCTGCCGCCGTGCTGCCAGAGCATGATTTCTGTTCTTATCCTGAAGCAAAGTTCTTAACCCGAGGTACTATTTCTGGGTTAGCGGAGTCTATAACCTGAAGCGTATGTAACCTGAGGTACCACTGTACCATGAAGAGATGGAAGGTAGTTACAACCAGACAGAATACGCATGTAACGGAAATTCTCTTCTGTAAACACATCACCAAGTTGTTTGCACATTCCAAGCCGAGTCTGGTTCATTTGTAAGCCATTTCCACACTTGTCAGTTTTCAGAAATACCTTTTTACATTCAAAAGCAAGACGATCAGAATCCTCTGTAATTCTAGCTTCAACTAAGCCAGTCTTGTTAAGGTAGGCGAGCTGAGCATCCGCTTCATATGGAGCAACAATGCAATCTATTCCCCGGGCTCGGGCAGCTTTAATCACTTCACAGGCCATAGCATGTGTAACATCAATGCTACATGCAAAACATTCTCTGGCTTCTGATAATTTCCCTTCATGAAGCAGCCGTTTCCGTTTTAGGAGGTTTTCTTGCCATTTTTCTCGTCGCGACTTTTCAACTTTCTTCTTGGAAGGCAGGGTACAGCCATCAAATACCAGAATGACCGCTCCCCACATTAAACGGGGGGCGCCCTTTGCGTGGGATACCTGGAGGTCTCCGCCTACCTCAGTCAGTTGTCCAATCCCGCCTGGGGAAAGGGTTGCCAAGGAGACCAAGCCAGGTAGGGGAGGGACTACCTGCCCACACAATAGAGGGAGGATCTGACCTGGGAATTCAAATAATAGAATGGGTTTGACCCCAAATGACAGAAACATATCACCAAGCTTCATGCAATAAGCTACATATTGATCTGTGGGTTCTCCTTTGGCTAGCTTTTCTTTACATGAGCAGATTTGGCAGCCTCTTTGATAAATTGGAGCAAACCTTGGATCCCCATTGTTCTTGTCAAATCCAGGAAACTATTCCGGTACCTTCAGCACGGAGGAGGAAGCGCCCGTTGACAGCGCCGGAGGACCAGATCAGCTCCATCCACTAAGCAAGAAGAGCGCCTACCATGGGTAGGCAAGCTAAGGCCCAGGGACCGGATCCGGCCCAATCGCCTTCTAAGTCCAGCCCATGGATGGTCCGGGAGTCAGCATGTTATTACATGAGTAGAATGTGTCCTTTTATTTAAAATGCGTCTCTGGGTTATTTGTGGGGCATAGGAATTCGTTCATTCCCTCCCCCCATATAGTCCAGCCCCCCCCCACAAGGTCTGAGGGACAGTGGACCGGCCCCCTGCTGAAAAGGTTTGCTGACTCCTGATAAGGCTTTTCAGTGACTACTAGCTGCAACAGGTACTTGAGAGGGTGGTCTTGTAGTAAGGTTAAAGTTTATTGGGAAATGATTTATAATGAATTGAAAAGGATGTTCAAAATAACTTTTGTTATAAAAAAAAACAAAACCCAGAAGTTTTTCTTTTGGGAATTGTAGGGACAGAACTACCCAAACAGTATAGAAATTTATTCATGTATGCGACTACAGCAGGAGGAATGTTACTCGTCCAAAAGTGGAAAGAAGCAAAAGTCCCAGCAAAGGAAGAATGGATAGAAAAACTTGTGGAATATGCAGAAATGGCAAAACTTACCAGAAGAATAAGAAATCGAGATAACAAACTTTTTATAAAAGAACGGAAATGGCTTATTGAATATTTACAGACAAATTGCCAACAGATAAAAACATTGGCAGGATTATTGTAATAACCTACAGTTTCATAAGAGTATATATTTAAAGTAGATAATTAAATGAGCAACTTAAATGAATTTGGATACGCAGAAGGTATTAAAAAATAAATTCAAGGAACCGCAGAAAGAGGGGGAAGGAAATCAGACTCTGAAATGTTAAAATGATTGTAAAAGTAATGAAATGTATAAACCTGAAAAGTATAAATAAAAATTTTAAAAGAAAAAAAACCCCAAGATGAGTAACTCTGCGACCTTTAGAAGACATCTGAAGGCAGCAAAGCATTTTAATGTGTAATGTTTTATTATCTTTTTATATATGTTGGAAGCTGCCCAGTCAGATGGGCGGAGAATAATAATAATAATAATAATAATAATAATAATAATGGAATATTTAGAACCCATCAGAGTCAAGTAGGGATCTGAGTATGACCTTCTTGGATATCTCCCAAAATTCCTCTGTGTTCACCTGCCTACCCATTCTCATCCTCCACCCCATGCAAACCACCGTATTTTTCGTTCTATAAGACACACCAGACCACAAGACGCACCTAGTTTTTGGAGGAGGAAAACAAGAAAAAAAATGTTCTGAATCCCAGAAGCCAGAACAGCAAGAGGGATCACTGCGCAGTGAAAGCAGCAATCCCTCTTGCTGCTCTGGCTTCTGGGATAGCTGCGCAGCCTGCATTCGCTCCATAAGACGCACACACATTTCCCCTTACTTTTTAGGAGGGAAAAAGTGAGTCTTATAGAGCAAAAAATACGGTATATTTTGGCAACTTTGCCAACTCATCGTAAGAAAGTTTTGCATGGGCCCTTCCCCAGCTCTGTTTTTCTGTCGTTTAGCTTTTGAGCAACATCTAGACAACACTTCACAGTTCCACCTAATTCAGTCCATCAAAGTCCACGCAGCCGCAAATTTCAGTTCGGATGCAAGAGGCTAATGGACGGTGCCTTTGTAATGGCGGCAGGTCGCTGTGATATTAGAATGGGCATCAGGGAGGCTTGGCGTGTGTTTCACAATGACATTTTACCTGAACAAGAGTCACAGACAGCACATGGGGTATTTTGAAAGGCATGCGCTATTTTGTTGGATCAACAAAACAGGGAGGCGGAATTTTGTGATTAACACAATGCTCAGTTGTGTGTTAATGTCCCCTGTATCCTTTTTTAAAAGCAACTTTTGAGTAGACTCCAGGGGCCGCTTAACCCTTTCCCTGGTCCACTCTAAATCACCCCAATAACACACAAAATAACCCTGTCCCCCCCCCCTGCATAGAACCATATAAGTGATGTTTAGAAAGTTACTGTAATTTTAATCTGCTTCAGTATTTTAACCTTTGTATGCCTTAAGGTAGGGGTGTAATTTTTTCTTCATTTTGCTGTTCCATCTTTTGTAAAACCGCTTTGATGATCCCCTCCCCAACCAATCAAGTGGTATATAAACTTAATGAAATAAATAGATAAATGAACATGTCACTATCTCTCCCCTTAAGTGTGTGTATGGTTTTAAATGGATAAAATACAAAATGTGAGTCGTTGCTTAGGCATTGGTTGTGACTATCTGTCCCCGCCCAGGGACAGAAATGACATCCGCAAACCTGTGAAATCAGTAAGGGAAAACATTTTTGGGGAGAAAATGGAGCTGGGTGCCAGACCCTCACCTCTCCCCAAGTGCTCCCAGGGGCTCTTGCGTGGCCCTAGCCCCCTTGACAGAGGTGCGGACAAAAGCATGGTGAGCCCCTGGATTCCTTTAACGGAATACCCTTGCAGCAGCATTGGAGGGGCTGGCACAGCCAATCCATGCCCCTCCACCAACCAATTTTCTAAAACCAATGCCTAACCGCAACCTTACAAGTTGTGACAATTTGCTATGCAGTAGGCAAAAAAACAAATGGCACCAGCCAATCAGCCAAATGGACAAAATTCCTACCAGGCCCCTGCCCCAAAAGCAGATGACCCCATGACAGGCATAGCAAGGTCATACGCAAAAGCCCTAAAATTAGGGAGGGTGGGTGGGTGATCTGATGCGCGCAGCGAAAAGAGGAAGCTCAACGCTGCGCACAGAGAAAATATAACCTAAGGCTGTCAATCAATAATTGGCAACATCAAACTCTCCCCAATCACAACAGTGGACATCCAAACTAACCCGCCCAGCAACAGCGAGGTGTCTTGTTAACCCCACCGCAAGCCGTGCTCTCCATGAAGGAGAACACACTTTGCGCATGTGTGCGCACACACACACACTCTCCGGCCCATTGCGGCGTCTGCGGGACCGTGAACCGGCCCAAGCCACAAAAACTTTACAGACCCCTGCACTACATCTTAATCTTGCTCATCTCACCAGATCTAGCCTTAGGGTGCAATCCTGACCCCACTTACCTGGGAGTGAGCTTCCCTGTATGCAACAGAAGACTGAGTAGACATGTTCAGGGTTGCACTGAACATCTGGATCCAATCCACAGCTTTCCCCATCTCCTGAGATCTTCAGATGTGAAGATGCCAGAACCTCAGACCTCTTGCATGTGCTCAAACGATGAGTTATGGGCCCTTCTTATTCATATCAAATATCTCAGGGTCTTTGTAACTGCACCGACGCTCTGGGAAGGCTGGGAAGGATGCAATATGTGAACTGAAAGAAACAGCCATTTCTGAGCCTGCAGATAATGATACACTTAGCCATTAATTTACTGAAAGCATCCTTTTTGGAGTCTCCCAGAGTTGCCGCAATCAGCAAAGCCGGGCGGCAAAATAGCACCCGAGGTACAAATTGGCTGTTTCAGGACCTGTCGAAATGGCAAGGGTGGTTGCCATTAGCTCGTTTCTGAATTTTATTTGGGGGGGGGGAAACAACCCCAAGCAGAAGACACATGCGCTGGGTTGATTGCATTGCCATGTTAACGAAGCAAATTTCACATGGAATTTAAGTGGCTGCCTAATGGATTTGTTCCCGCGGCCCTGAAATGCACCCATATAATTAGGCAAAAGGGCTTTGCAAAATATTGAAAGGATCAGCGCCATGACAACCCTTGTTTTCCATCAGGGCAGTGTCAGATAATACCTTCTTAGCAGCCAGCTTAAGGATAACAGACTTGATTTCTGTTACGCAAGGGTAGCTGACATATGCTTGTGCATATGGGTACACATAAGGATTCCAAATTCTATATTGCGGGAGAAAATAATTCACCATTTCTTTTTCATTTCCCAGAATTTATCAAGGAGAGAAATGGCACGGAGCTTCAGAATTCAGGCCCAGTTCTCACTGAGATTAAATCCCATGCCTGCCTTGAATTCTTTCAGCAGGGGGAGCCGGTTCACATGTTTAACTGCTACAATAAATTTTAAAAATGCCTCTGTGTTGAAAACAAGGTGTCATGGTGGAGACTTCTTCTACTCAAGTCAGAGATATGAAGGCTTGAGAGAATAAAGCCCCCCTTTTTTCTCCCAAAGCCCTTTGCCCCCTCAAAAAATCAGGGGGGAAATGAAAAATGTTGGAGTATGACATACAGAAGGGTAGAGAAGCTTGTTTGCATCCAGGCAAACCTCCGGTTTTTAAAAGTCTGTGATAAATATGATGAAAAATATGAAGAAGCAGAAAATGGTAGCTCAGGAAATGAGACTGATTAAATTTCATATAGTATTCATTGAGTCTTGGTTTTCCCTCTCTCTTCGCAAAAATGATTAATTTATGTCTGCTTGACACTTCATAAAAATAAAAATAAAAATCAATTTGCAATTATTGGCTGAGTAAGTTGTACTTAGAATATACCCAGCATGACAACCTAATGTTGAACCAAGGTATACATAAATCGTTCTATGCTCTCGACGTAATGTAGTGACTTTCAAACTTTAAAAGGCGCTAAAAATAATAATAAGTATTGCATATTTTCTCTCTCACACCCCATTTTTTGTTATTGTCTCAACCCCAAGCCCTGAAAATGCAATAGGTTTTTTTTATTATTATTTTTAACCATGGCTTCAAAATTTCCAGAAATTTTATATCGCTTAACCCCAGT